TACATGCCACGCATGCTTATTAACTACCTGGAGATTAAGATTGCGGGCTCCTCTCGTCGCCCTTGTCGCCTATAAATTTTTAAACTGAATCTTTCTTATGTCGACGATGTAATTTTCTTTTTTCTGATTCGTACATTTTTATTCTTACTAGTTTTAAGAGGTTATAGAATTTAGTCCTTGTTATATTTTATATCTTCTTTAACAATTAGATAAAGTATGTTTTGTAATAATTTTAGGTTGTTATTATACTCTTGTTTGCTTGTAAATAATTAATTTTTCAGGGTTCCTATTTATTGATAATAGAGTCTGCCACTGACTCTGACGGGTTTTTCCTGAACAAATAAAAGTTGTTCCCTTTGGCTCGATCAATCTCTGATCATTTTTCAGCTTACAGGTTAAATTTTGACCAATTGTCAGAACCTCTTTCCAGGAAGACTGTGACCCTCCCTATCCCTATTTTTCCTAATTTATTTCTCGTCCATAATGAAGCTACAGTAGGTCACGCTATTTGAAGTAACTTACGACCACAGAATTAACTGAAAAGTAAAATTGTTCAGTTGCCTCGATCAACTTGTGGAAGAACTTGGTAAACTTGAAAGGCAAAAAGGAGCTCCACAGAGATCAGTATTAAAAAACGGATTGCGGACTGCGGATTACCGACTGCGAACTGAGTAAAAATATCGACTGGCCTTATGCACTGGGTATAAAATACTCATTACGGTGATTGCGGACTGAATTTTAAAACCAGTTCGTTCTAGGAAGGTAAAAATGAGATAAAACGATTGCGCACCAGTACTCCGAGCCAAGCCTACAATGCAAGCAGAGCCGCCTGCCAGCATTCAGCGGCGTTTCTATGACAAAAATCTTGGTCAAGTAAGACATACACCAAAAAAATGCGTCATTAAATAACATGGCGGAACATGGAGCATATTCTCCTAGTCCAAGAACACCATCTGCCTTTCATCAGAGAAGCTCCCATTCACGTTCAGCGTCATGGTCGTACACATCAGGAAATGGGCAAATCACTATAACACCTTTAAACCCGATCAGATCGGTTATTCGTGAGTTTGTTCCCAGTTTCGGCCATCGAAGTCCAACTTCTCGATCGTCTACTAGTTCTCCTCTTTCTCCTCTCTCTCCTTCGACTTACGTTAACATAGCGGAGGTTCTGAGAGACGAAAACGATGCAGAAGACATAGAATCGAGCAGGGTCTCCCCATTTACCGCTGTAAACAACAATTCGGGAAACTCAAGCGATGGAGATGCCGAAAGTGGCGATGCTAACATGGCCGCCGGGAATTCTAGTGGTGCTAATGGAAACGGTCGTTCTGCTGGAGATAGAGTCGAGTTTCAAGGCACGATAAACTGGATTGAAAAGAGTTTACCTTTTGTCCTGCTGCTTCTGAGCAGAATTATGTGGGACCATCGATTAGGTAGGTGTTATTAAGGTTTAAAAATGAGCTTGGTTATTAATCTTCAGATTAAAGTATAACAACAACAACAACAACAATAATGATAATGATAAGGATAATAATAACAATAAGATAATAATAATAATAATAATAATAATAATAATAATAATAATAATAATAATAATAATTTCTCGTGAAACGAGCAAGGCTCCACGTATTTATAGTGGCCTGCATACTCAGGTGGCCGGCCCATATATATTTCTATGTCTATGTTGTGGTTCAGTTTTATCCCTGGTTTAACTTTTGTTTTCCTTTCTTTCAAACTCATTATCATACACTACCATACCCAAACACAAAGGAAAATAAAATTTACACCAAGGATGAAATTGAACCACAACATATATATCTGATGGTGTCTACAGTGACATATCAGTACAAGCGACAAATGTGTGGGCATTGTTGTTACTGTTTTTGTGACCATTTTAGCAATAAAAAATTCTTTGGGACAATAAACTTCAATGGCCAAAGTATTTCAAAGAGATCCTTGAATCAGTTTGGACCAGTTTTTTCAAAATCAGAGGAAAAATTAGCTTGGTGCTTTACCTGCCAATGAAACATAAACTGGTTTCAGCTCTGTACAACTGCAGTACAGGGTTTCAGGTGACTTTCAGGCAACTTGACCTTGATGAATCACAACACTGTAGGAAAGAAAATTAACATACATGTATGGGTAAAAGAAATTTGAGTCCTAATCATGATTGTTACCAGAAATTAAGGAATTCAATGTTTTTCAGGGGTGTGCTCTTCGGTGACTAGAAAATCTTAGTTTTTTCATACAAATGATATGCAGCTGGGCACCCTAGTTTTTGCAGGTCCAGAGCACTGGGCTCCCTTTAATTTTCCTTAGAGCACAGCCTTGTTTTTTTGATATACATATCCTTCCTTTTCAGGTATTTTGGTGTTTATTGGTTTGTGTGGTACATTTCTTCATGCTAACAGTACTGTTAAAAGACAAGTGTCTCTAAAGGTATTTATTTAAATGACTACATACTTTGAATTTTGTTTCCAAAACAAGGAAACACTTCAGCAACATTATGGGCATGTTTTGTCAAATTTTTGTTGTTCTACAATAAACTGGTGCAGGTCCAGACTGATTTTCATTAATAATTGTTTTCTTTTGCACTAAAAAGTTAGATGTAAAGAATAATCACTGACAGTGTGTTTCTCAGGCCCTATGAGAAGCTTTGCACCTTTCGCTCTTACCATTACATTTAGAAAATAGTTGCATTTTACTCATACAACTGAGTTCATATAAATGTACAAGATTATGGAGTGCAGGTGGGTTTTCCACCAAATCAGACCTTCTGTCGGTTGTTTCTCAATGTTACACCTGGTTCACAGCAAGACACACTTTGAGTCAATTTCAAAAAGTCAAGAACTCTTCAATCACTTGTTGGTCACTTCCTTTTTTCTTGTGACCTTTAACGTTATTTGACTGACCAGTGTAATTGTTAAAAAGGTAAATGTTACATTGTAAGTTAAATGTTAGCCATTCTTGGAATTTATAAGTTTAATGTAGATTTCAGCCTGTGAACAGATTTACAGTATTTTGTGCTTCACTAGACCCACATTTGTTATCATAACATTATTTCTTTGATCATTTTAGGATAGACGTCTCAATCGAGTCTCTCTGTGGACCTTTGTTTTTCTTTCTGGAAATGTCTTTTTTATTTACTATGTGTTCTATAACAACCATCTAGAAAACTGGTAAGAAACCACAGAAATGAATGTTGGTGTATTTAGGTTATGTTTTGGTCAAATCAAAGCTCAAACATCCCCCCACCCCAGGCAACCTTGAGGCATTTGAACTTTTGAAAATTAATGTTTTCAAAATTCTCCACTACCTGAGCCAAAAATCCTGTTCATACTAATAGGTCCATTTTAGGTTATTAAATGTTGCCACCTCAGGGACATTAGAAGGGGACCATGTTACTCTTTTAAATATAAATGTAATTTTCACCATGTTGGCCTCCGCAATGACTTACATGTATTAAGTCTCTTGCAAGGCTAATTAATAATTAATTCATTATCCCTTCAATGACTATACTCACTAATTCGAAAGTTATTTTTTGTCATTGAGGCAACTAAGAGATGCTCAGCCTTACAAATGCAGCCTGTTATCTGAAAAAGTGGAACCTACAGATAGGTCCCTAATGACTCAGGTCTGCACCCCAATCAACTGGTGTTGTATGACACACCCACTCCAACATGCCCCTTCTTTACACATCCTGAGCCCCATCAGATTTAGCATGACCTAACATTTGCTTTTTTTCTTGTAAGTTTGATTTTCAGAAAGCCTTTATTCAATAGAATGGATGTCTGGACTGTGTTTTGGTGTGTTGGAATAACAGGTGACATAATGTTATTTATTCAAATACACTGTTGCAGTAATACTGTATGACTTTTCATGCTCAGTAATCAGGGTTTTTTGATTACTTCCATATTGTTTCCAACTGACCTAGCTAAGGTTACTTCTTATCTATCAATAATAATTATTTTATTGTTTGGAGTTGTGCTGTGCTATATCTGTGATTAAATAATGATGATGGTAAAATATTTTTAATAACACCAGAGTTACATTTTAGAGTTTTTGAATGGTTACCCTGCCCATACATGTACATGTACAGCTGCCCTGATTGAAGGCTCGACTGTCTATAGCAGTGAAATGGTTTAAAGAGGTTGTGAAGCTAGGATAAATACCATAAAGAAATGTATATACTAGGCAAATGGCCACAATGTTTTTGTTTGTTTGTTTGTTTAGTTGTTTTATTAAACAGGATATAAATCGTCCGGGTAAGACGGGAAGCAATTACTTTGTTATGGCGCAATACACTTTCTTCGCATAGGAATGTTTTCATTTTCACGCAGAGAATGTGTTTTTATAAGGAAGTTGGTTAGAAAACAAGGGATCAGTATACATGCTGCCTTGTAAAGATTCCTAAAATTTGAAGCTTATTAACCAATAAAAAGTGTAGTAGAAACAATAGTTTTGCATACCGACGTGTTCATTGTGATACACTTTGTTCTTTCCTTCTTACCTGGACCATAACTATGTCTGGTCCATTACTCAATTTGACCATAGTTATTAAAGTGGAATGGTCTCCTCTACTATGATTTGACTAAGATGCAACATGTCAGTGATCAATTTACAAAATGCAAATGTGGTTGTCAGCGTCTACAGTTGTTCTTTTGTTCTTCTCTTAGTTAATTTTATGCTTTCCAGTTGTGGTAAATGAGAAGATTCTTTGAATGAAAATTAATGCCTAGTAACTATTACTTGCTGCCATGGTTGATTACAGATTTTGTGATTCGATTCATAACGATGGCTCTTAAATCGATGGTGGTTATTCAGCATAGAAGAATAATTCCGTTTAGAAAAAGGGTAAGAAATGATAATTGCGTCTAGACTTTAGTTTTGGCCCTTACTTTTAGAGGTATTCCTCCGGGCACTCCCCGTCTCCGATCCCCCCCCCCCCCCCCCCCCCCCCCCCCCCCCGCTCCCCCGCCCCCCCCCCCCCCCCCCGCACACTGTTCTTGTGGCTGCCCCCCAACTCACTTTTGTGCTGTTCCCTCTTTTATCCCTCACCACCCATTTTGTATTTTTGACATGTTTGTTTTTTTTAACTTTTCTTTCACTTTCTATGCTAACAGTACTGTTAAAAGACAAGTGTCTCTAAAGGTATTTATTTAAATGACTACATACTTTGAATTTTGTTTCCAAAACAAGGAAACACTTCAGCAACATTATGGGCATGTTTTGTCAAATTTTTGTTATTCTACAATAAGATGGGCAGGTCCAGACTGATTTTCATTAATAATTGTTTTCTTTTGCACTAAAAAGTTAGTTGTAAAGAATAATCACTGACAGTGTGTTTCTCAGGCCCTGTGAGAAGCTTTGCACCTTTCGGTCTTACCATTACATTTAAAAAATAGTTGCATTTTACTCATACAACTGAGTTCATATAAATGTACAAGATTATGGAGTGCAGGTGGGTTTTCCACCAATTCAGACCTTCTGTCGGTTGTTTCTCAATGTTACACCTGGTTCACAGCAAGACACATTTTGAGTAAATTTCAAAAAGTCAAGAACTCTTCAATCACTTGTTGGTCACTTCCTTTTTTCTTGTGACCTTTAACATTATTTGACTGACCAGTGTAACTGTTTAAAATGTAAATGTTACATTGTAAGTTAAATGTTAGCCATTCTTGGAATTTATAAGTTTAATGTAGATTTCAGCCTGTGAACAGATTTGCAGTATTTTTTGCTTCACTAGACCCACATTTCTTATCATAACATTATTTCTTTGATCATTTTAGGATAGACGTCTTAATCGAGTCTCTCTGTGGACCTTTGTTTTTCTTTCTGGAAACGTCTTTTTTATTTACTATGTGTTCTATAACAACCATCTAGAAAACTGGTAAGAAACCACAGAAATGAATGTTGGTGTATTAAAGTTATGTTTTGGTCAAATCAAAGTTCAAACATCCCCCCACCCCAGGCCACCCCTAGGTATTTGAACTTTTGAAAATTAGTGTTTTCCTCCACTACCTGAGCTGAAAATCCTGTTCATACAAGTAGGTCCATTTTAGGTTATCAACTGTTGCCACCTCAGGGACATTAGAAGGGGACCATGTTACTCTTTTACATCTGTCTGGATTTCATACAAGGTGCCTGTACTGAGTCTTTAGACCGTCAAGTCCAAAGAGCCATTACTCACCCTCCCCACCCATGTAGCTTATGACTAGTCAATCAATTCCCCCAAGCTCTGCTAGTAGTGTTATGATTATGAGTCACCGCATTGATTTGGCTGGCTTAGGCCACAGGATAGACTACGAGTAGTCCCCCATTTTTCCTCAGGGATAGTAGAGCGAGCAAAACGCGAGCGCACATGAAAATCAACCCATGCAGGAAAAGGCGACACGTGCTCTACTATCCCTGAGGAAAAATGGGGGACTACTCGTAGTCTAGCCACAGGAAAAATTCTCTGACTTTGCACTGCTTTCTGACATAAAACTCTAATCAAAGAGACAAAATCTCCCCCCCCCTACACCCCTGATTTTCACACAAAAGAAGGAAGCCACCCACCCACGGTGGACTGGGCCTGGGCTCTCAGCTGACACCTAGCAAGACGGCAAGCCCCCTAGTTTTTTCCCGGCTACACTGGCTAAGCGAAAACTTAGCAGGCACCTTTTAGCAAAATCACACAGACATATAAATGTAATTTTCACCATGTTGGCCTGCACAATGACTTATTAAGTCTCTTGCAAGGCTAATTAATAATTAATTCATTATCCCTTCAATGACTTTACTCACTAAAAGTTATTTTTTGTCATTGAGGCAACTAAGAGATGCTCAGCCTTACAAACACAGCCTGTTATCTGAAAAAGTGGAACCTACAAATGAGTCCCTAATGACTCAGGTCTGCACCCCAATCAACTGGTGTTGTATGCCACACCCGCTCCAAAATGCCCCCCTTTCACACATCCTCAGCCCCATCAGAAAGCAGTGGACCTAAAGTTTGTTTTTTTCTCCTTGTAAGTTTGATTTTCAGAAAGCCGTTATTCAATAGAATGGATGTCTGGACCGTGTTTTGGTGTGTTGGAATAACAGGTAACATAATGTTATTTTTTCAAATACACTGTTGCGGTAATACTGTATTACTTTTAAGCGTAATAATTATTGAGTTTTTTTTTTTACTTTCATATTGTTTCCAACTGACCTAGCTAAGGTTACTTCTTATCTATCAATAATTTTATTGTCTGGAGTTATGCTGTGCTACATCTGTGATTAAAACAATAATGATGGTAAAATATTTTTAATAACACCAAAGTTACATTTTAGAGTTTTTGAATGGTTACCCTGCCCATAGCATTCATGTGCGGCTGCCCTGATTGAAGGCTCGACTGTCTATAGCAGTGAAATGGTTTAAAGAGTTTGTAAAGCTAGGATAAATACAATAAATAAATATATATACTATGCAAATGGCCACAATTTTTTTGTTTGTTTGTTTAGTTGTTTTATTAAACAGGATATAAGTCGTCTGGGTAAGATGGGAAGCAATTTCTTTGTTATGGCGCAATACGCTTTCCTCACATAGGAATGTTTTTTATTTTCTAGCAGAGAATGTGTTGTTATAAGGGAGTTGGTTAGAAAACAAGGGATCAATTTACATGCTGCCTTGTGAAGATTTCATAAAATTTGAAGTTTATTAACCAATAAAAAGTGTAGTAGAAACAACAGTTTTGCATACCGACGTGTTCATTGTGATACTTTGTTTCTTTCCTTCTTACCTGGACCATAACTATGTCTGGTCCATTACTTAATTTGACCATAGTTATTAAAGTGGAATGGTCTCCTCTACTATGATTTGACTAAGATGCAACATGTCAGTGACCAATTTACAAAATGGAAATGTGGTTGCCAGCGTCTACAGTTGTTCTTTTGTTCTTCTCTTAGTTAATTTTATGCTTTCCAGTTGTGGTAAATGAGAAGATTCTTTAAATGAAAATTAATACCTAGTAACCATTACTTGCTGCCATGGTTGATTACAGATTTTGTGATTCGATTCATAACGATGGCTCTTAAATCGATGGTGGTTATTCAGCATAGAAGAATAATTCCGTTTAGAAAAAGGGTAAGAAATGATAATTGCATCTAGACTTTAGTTTTGGCCCTTACTTTTAGGGGTATTCCTCTGGGCACTCCCAGTCTCCAACAACCGCCTCCCCCCCACCCCCCACAGGGTTTCCAGGTATCTCCTCTCCTTAGATAGGAATATGGTACTTGAAGAACCACTTAATCAATTTGCTGCATGTCCACTGGTGTACCACCCAATCGTTATTTAGTAAATTACAATGTATGTTATTTCGCAACTTACGTGGAAATCTCCGCATGGCTTCCTACTGTTGAACGGTTACGACAGTTAGATATTTGCGGGAGCAACAATCGTGTATAGGGCACAGCTACCCTATTGAAATAGAGGTTTCTATCAAAAGTGTGTTCCCTTTCATTTTTATCGGTATTGAACCGCACCAAATCAAGATAGGTTATACTGGATCGGTTTCCATCATGTGTGGTATTGTTCTGTAAAACTTTCTACTGATGCCTTTGTTCACACCGTGCAATGTATTTTCTCACTCACAGGGCAAGTTTTATCTTTTAATTGAGAATTTTTCTCAGTTATACCGCATGTTGGTGCCCATTCCACTGTGGTTCGCCTTTTTCACGGAGTACAACTATGGTGGCGAGTACTTTGCTGTCATAGCAACAACAATATACTTAATTCTCAAGGTAAGTCTACTGCGTTCTTTTCAGCCTCACACAGCCTGGGAAAACAGCCAACCTTTTCACCACCACTGGTTTCCATGCGAAACGACATCTCAGGTTCGGGTTTAGAAACTCCATACTGATAACGTGTCACTACCCAGATCTGGGCACAGGTAACCCAGGCTCACTGTTTGGGTCACGTACGGGTTTCATAACATGGGTAAATATAGGGAACATATGGGGCGAAGTTTAGGTCTGGAAATTTGCTAGAAAGTGGAAATATAAATCGATGAAAATTACCATGTGGCGAGGGACTTTAATATCCAGCGACGCGACGGCAATGACTGAGAACGTCGCTTAAAAAGTGAATTTGCGTTCTTTCAGTCTATATCGCAATTATTCCTACCCACTTACTTTGTCAAATGTAGGCGAACCGTCCTGGAGTTGAATTCCTAGGCACCATATCCAAGTACAGTAAGAGAAATAAAATTTCGTCATTGCTTGTTTACGTCCTCCGTAAAATGCGAAATTATGCATGTTCCAGTCGTTGTCGTGCAAAAACGGGCAGAGAAATGTACAAAAAAGCATGGTGCACGTGCAAAGTTGTTGTTTTGCTGATAAAACCTATTGTTTTTTTGACGTTCTCGTTACCGTACACGAAGTGTCGGGAAAAATAGTCGCCATCACCTTTCCTTCATGTACACTTTTTTTTATAAGAACGTCCATTTTTCGAGTTGAGCCCGGACCGTTCCTATTTTCTGGGCAGTTTCAGCCTGGAAATGTTCTTAAATTTCAATAACTTACAGTAAATGTATTATTGACCATACGCAATAGGAATGTGTTGAAAGAAAAGACAAAATTTTGAGTGCACTCTGATTCCATGTAGGATATTATGTAATTCAGACTTTCTGGATTTAGGAAAGTAAAAGCAGCGACAAATAGATTGTTCAGTCTTCTCTGAGCCTATGTCCTTAGCATGTTCTTAATATTTTGGCAAATTTCTGGCTGAACGTTCTTTTAAAAAAGGTTCTTACATAAAAAAAGAGTGTACTCGGAGAATGAGGCCATGAATCAGTGAAGTTGTTGATAGTCCAGTATTACCCTCAATTAACATCGTGAAGCACACTCAGAGATGAAAATGGTATTTTTTATTGCATTTCTGTCCATTAAGTAGAAATCTCCCTTTATATCTAGTACCAGAAATATCTTAATACGTCCTTTTCTTTCCAAAGGGACGTATGATTATAGGAAAACTGCAAGAGGTGTACTCCGCCTGCAAAGTGTTTGGACACGATGTGGTATGTCTGAAGTCTCTTTCATCTTATTGTGGCTAGAAAAAAATCCCTGCAAACACCACATGTAGTGATTAGAAATTAATACTTACAGCGGTATTTGCTCAGATGTGAAACGAAAGCCCCCAAATTCAAAACGCGGACAAAGCCGTGTGGAGCTTACACTCAGGAATTACCATCAGATACAAAGTAAACCAGAACGTATGGGAACTATACGAAATAAGCCGGGACTTAAGCTGTCACACAATTCTGACAAAATAACATGGACTATTATACTGATGCAAGCACCTGTAATACACTGTACACTGACTGGCTTTGCATTGCAAATTCATCTTGCAAGGCATCTGTAGGTGAAAGGGAAAGCAAGGGCAAAAGACGAGATAGGAAGATAATAACCCTAAAAGACAAATCAAACTAAACTAACGTTATTTAGAGAGGGTGACACTTGACAGTTCCAAGACCTCTTAAAGCTGTGGTCCTCTAAGTGTACCCAACGAGATACATTTTCTAGATCGAATTGGAATTGGACATGCGTTTAAGGAAAGAGACCTCTTGTCCTCAGGAGAGGGGGAGCCGGAGAACCCGGGGAGAAACCTTTCGGAGCAAGATAGAGAACCAACAACAATTTAACCCGTATATGGCGTCGCCGCCAGGACTCGAACCCAGGCCACATTGGTGGGAGGCGAGTGCTCTGACCGCTACGCCATCATCCCTTTTTCCCCAATAGCGTGTATGGGCACGGGTTTTGTTGGGTCCCTGAGAACACAAAAGTGTAGGGTAGGTGAAGAGGTCTGATTGCACCTCTTGATAACAGCTATGACTGTCGGCTCTTTTCTGATCTTTGCTTGAATTTTAAAATGGGTTTGACTACTAAGTCTCCCAATTCCTATTCTTTCTTCTTCTTTTCACAGCAATATGGCTCACCGCCCTCGAAAGAAGAGATAGTAGAAGCCGGAAATTCGTGTCCAATCTGCCAAGAGGACCTCAAGGATCCCATCAAACTTCGGGCGTGTAAGGTGCGGCGTTGATGAGATTTCCTCAAAATCGATTACTTGTCCTCTGTGTCTTTTGTCGCTTTAGGGTAACCTCTATTAGCTATGTTTATGAGCCTCTTGCCTAGTCACGTTAACAAGATCTCCACTTCTGACCAGTTTATAATACATACAGTGGTGTACACTGTGTACAGGTAGCCATTACGACACCTGAAGGAGGATCGTGAGGTTATCGCTATATTAAGATCTCTCCTTATAGATAACCCACCCGGCCCAAGAAAGGCTGGTCACAGAACCGGGGTCTACATCCCTTTCTCTTTTTGAACGGTCTTGTGGGTTCTTTTACGTCCCACAAGGTGAACCAGATAAGTGAAAGTGCTGTGAGACGAAGCCTACCGTTTTTCGTCCTTATCCAAGAAGACTAGAAAGTCTAAACCGTTTGCAGATGTTACTACAGAGGCAGCACTTTATTCTCAGTTTTTTAAAGACCCTGAGTGTTGGTCCGGTCGGTGTTTGAACCCGCGGCCTCCCACACAGCAGACGGGCGCTCTCCCAACTGAGCTAACCTGTCTCTCTATCTTTGTTTATTTATTTATTTATTGTTTGCAGCACATATTTTGCGAGGACTGCATATCGCTGTGGTTTGACCGTGAGCGTACCTGTCCCATGTGCCGAGCCAAGGTTGTGGCTGATCCCAAGTGGAGAGATGGCAACACTGCAACCTACGTAATACTATTTTAAATTCTTACTTTCCTGTCGCCTTAAAGTAAAAAATAGTAATTACAAAGTACAAGGCTTGGGCCAAGAGAGGATTGGTTTGGCGAGGTAGTAATGTGTACGAAAGGCCCGTGGGGGGGGGACCTTTATTCATTTCCCTGAATCATTTCGTTTAAGCTGACATCACAAGGTTAGATTTTTGGCACCAAACGTGTAGACCGCTCATCTCCAACCTTAATATTGTTTTACGTAAAAAAGCTTTTGTCCAAAAAGACACCCTGTTCCAGGCGCTAAATAGTGAAATTCTATATTCTGATTAAGACTTAAGACCCTGGGAAACATGACCCGTTCAGCGGCACATAGCCGTGTAGGTCAAATAAGGGAGTGACCCTCCCTTCCCTTCCCTTCCCTTCCCCTCCCCCGGAAATAAAAGTACCATCTGTTTGGTTGCAAGTCTGCAGATGTAGGTAGGAATAGTAAATTGGTACTGTTTGTCAATGTTGGTACTCAGTACAACAGTGGCACATACCTGTTGAGGTCAACTAAAGGAGTGACCCTCCGGAAGTAAAAGTATCAGCTGTTTGGTTGTGAGACTCCAGACGAAAGATGTACGTAGGGATAGTTAATTACAGCTGCTTGTCGATGTTGGTACTCGGCATGTTAAACCATTATCATTTAGGATTTAAAATAGTAGATAAATATATAATTTGCAGATGTTCATATAAAGTATTTTTATGATTATCTCAATGACAGTGAATCATTTACCCCATATTCAAAAAGCAAATAGTGGAGGGTCGTCCGTGATTGTACAGAATATTTAGAAGAGTCGTTCGGTGGTATTGTTGTAAATCGTTCTATTGTTTAAATAAAGATATATAATTTATACAAACTATGTAATTCAATTGTACCCGACCTAAACAAATTAGGGAACTCAAGAACCGAAGCTGGTGGCAGCGGCGAAAACGTCGCCTGAAAGTGAATTTGCGTTCCATAAATCTTTATTGCAGTTATTTCAACTCACTATGCCAAATGTAGGCGAACTCTCCTGGAGTTGAATTCCTATGAACCATATCCAAGTTCAAAAAGAGAAAGAAAATTTTACTGCGCTTGGAACGTTTCGGGTAGCGATGAGAGTCGGCTATATTCCCGGCACAAGCTATACTGATATTATCTGTTTTTTAATTAAAAGGTAAGTAGTGCTATCCACCGGATAAATTATCCACCTTTTGAACAACCGGGGCCTATTTGGCCTGTTATTGGAAGTACTAGAGCCACTCCCTAACGGCTCAAAGAAAATACCCCTTGACCAGCTCCCGGGGAAGTGGAGTAATGGGATGGAGAACTACGCAGGACTCTCCCCTCCCCCTTCCAAGCGCCCCGCTTTTCTTTCTCGTTCCTCACCAAGAAACGTCCGTTCCTCTCTCCCCGTCTTGTCGTCCTGTCTCGCTTTCTCTTCGTCCTTAGTTTTCCACCACTAGAACGCCTGTCTATTGCATTAATGCCTAATACACAATAAAATTATATGTAGATTGTATAAATAAATAAAAATTCTAAAAATTGAATCCCAATAGACCATTTTACCGATACGGCGGCCATATTGAATTAATTGCATTTAAGGAGGAAGGGTCTTTAAAGAGTATCAATGGGATGCCCAGGGGGCACTCGCTCAGTATTTACGCGCGCTTTTCGGGCAAAAAGAGAACTTAAATGTATATTTCTCGGGAAAAAGGCGATCATTATAACATCCAAACTCGGCACAACGACCTTTTTTCCCATTAGAATCTTTTTCTAGGAAAACGTAAAGACAAATTGGCCCCGAAAATCGCGTGTAAATACTGATGCGAGTACATTCGACTCTCTCTCTTAACGGACACCTCTGTAAAACGGACACTTAGAGTTGGTCCCTGCCTTTCTTTACTCCTTTTATTTGACTCTCTATAAGACGGACACCTCTCTAAGACGGACACTTAGTGCCGGTCCCAAAGGTGTCCGTCTTAGAGAGAGTTGACTGTACATCGGATCGTGCTCATGCCCCCTGGGCATCCCATAATACTCCNTCTAAGACGGACACTTAGTGCCGGTCCCAAAGGTGTCCGTCTTAGAGAGAGTTGACTGTACATCGGATCGTGCTCATGCCCCCTGGGCATCCCATAATACTCCTTAAATTCAATTAATTAAATATGGCCGCCGTATCGGTAAAAAGGTCTATTGGATTCGGACCCATTCTTGAAAACCCAGTTGAGACAGGAGAAACGAAAGTTATCTTCTCCTGACCCGACTGACTGCCCCTGAGTCTCCGAGGATAGTTCAGACCCAGACCTCCATCAAATATTAGGGACTACTCTGTCCCAGGTTCTCAGATAGTGGGGATGACGCGAACGTGAAAGGCACCGCGAAAATATTAGCGCGTGATCTGCGGAAAGGGGGCGGTGGTGAAAGGGAGAGCCGCCCTTCCTCATCCCAGTTTCCTCCCGTTTTATTTTCGCGTTTGCGTTGTTACAGTGATATAGGCGTTCCCAAAACCATAATGATATGGGCATCCCCATCTCATATTACCTTAGCGATTTGGGTTAAGGTTAGGGTTAGGGTTACAGGGGATGCCCATATCACTAGGGTTTCGGGAGTGGGGATGCCCATATCACTGCGGCAGCGCTTTCTCAATTTCACGGACCCGACTATCTCGGAGCCTGGAGTGGTTAGTGGTGACCTTGACCATTTTCTACCTGGTTCATATATTTGACACATCTTCTTGCGGGAACAAAGCGGTTTTCATACTCCCGAGGGGGCAAGGCAAACGTCTTGCCAAATCGGGTGGCGAACAGGATTCGCTCGAACTTCCTCCCTCGCCAAGCCAGCCGTACAATATACTACAACTAAAGTAGCCTATGTACAGACCCCCGCCCCCTCTTCTCAGTAATAAGGGGAGGGGGGTCTGTACACAGGCTACGCGAAATTTATCGCAAACTGCTACAAAATGCAGGAGCCGAAAACAAAAAATAACGTTCAAAACTCCCCAGTAAATACAACAGCAAAACACAGCAAATACAAAAGAAGGCATTAAAGATGATTAATGCGCGGGAGACATTTGATTCAGACATTAATGAACGTCATTTATTCGTTAACGTTTAGCTCTGATAGACGTGTAATGACAATATTAAAGATGTGCAGTGAGCTACACAGTCGTGACACCGTCGGTCCCTTTAATGTCTAATGCATCGTTTGCGGTGATATATAATAAAATCAAGTTGAACTTTGTGGACACTGAGTGGGGAAAAGGTAATATTCGTCACCGCCACAGGACGAAAGAACTGAGGCGAAGGGAAGAAAATAGTAGTTATAAATACTCATAAGAAATCTACTTTTAAAAATTTGGACACATTTAGTATATAGAAATATACAGCGGCTTCACGTAGTTTGCTATTTTCATTCCGTAGTACAGTATAAAATAACGTATAAAATTGCATTGTAACTGCATACTTCATCTTTAAGTAGCTATTAACTAACGTTTAGCAGCCACGTAACGAAGGTTAAGCTAAATTACAGAAAATAATTAAAGAAGTAGTATATAATAACACGAAAAATGTTCATCTTAAGCATTCGTGTGCAACTTAAGAAAGCGAAATCAGCTACCCGAGTGTAGCTTTGTTATGAATGAAGGCCACATCACATATCGTGCCGATATCGAAAATAAGGTGGCTTTTCTTCACGTTAAATTTCGTTTTATTCGAATCCGTTTCCGTTTCAAAGCTTGCAATATTAAGACGTTTATTTCCACTGCTTTATCTGTACTGTCGCTTTCAAAAAAGAGCAACTTGATGTGTTTCCGACTAATGAGTTCTTACGTGACCTTACAAAACCAACTAAGAAAAAAAATGCTGTGTTGCTTTAATAAAAGACCTTTGTCACAAAGCAACCCCTCGCTAACTGGAAACGAAATATTGTAATTATGTTTTACTCCAAATTTGCATAATATTACAAAGACTGAGTTTTTCGTTGAGAGGTCAATATTTATCAACAGTCTGTTTAAAAAATGCGATTTTCATATGAGCCTCAACGGCTTAATTTTACACCAAAAAAGTGATCGCATTGAAAATAGAAGTTTGCAGCTAAAATAGTTTGTATAAAATTCGTTTTATTCTGCTAATTTTGCGTGAAAAGGAATAAAAATTAAACAAGTCATTTCCAACAGAGCAATACCTTTTTTTGCCCTGGGGGATTAAGCATATTGCTTATGTATCCAAATCAATTTACCATTATATACGAGGATTATACTTGATTTTTCATGTGTTATTCTTTCAACCAGAAAAAAACAGAACCTAAAACCGCCAAACAGGTGCTTAGGCACAATAAAAGAACTTCTAATTTTCTATGTTATCTATGTTTGAGGAAAACGCTTGAATTTACTGATGCAGCAAAAGAGTGATGAAAATTATAAGAGCACGGCAGATTATTTTAGTGGTGATTCTGAGGACTGGAATTGTACTGTGCCTTTTAAAATCATAATTCATTAATAAAATACTTTTGCAGCGCATTCTGTTGAAAAACAAGCTTAAAATAGTCAATTCCGAGGACAGATGCCTGTAATTTTGCGGCGTAACCCTGTTTAGTCACAACTTAAAGATTGCCATCTCTGCACTAAGGTGATCAGTGCTAAAAATGGGAGAGGAGGTAGATAGGCTCAGTCTGTGGGTTTCGTCCCAACTCATCGGAAGATAAGTGAATATTCATGAAGTTCTACGAGGAGTGATTACAAACCAAGATAATCACATTATGGAGCAGTTCTTCCCCTTTTTGGTGTTATTGTTCGCTGAGGAAGAAGTTTTTACATTTGCGGGTTTTTTCTTCCTGTGTTTTTCTGCAGCTGTCCTCGCTTGTACAGCTTCCTCTAATAGCCGTCTCGGTGGCCTCTGATTTGTCGTATGAGCGTTTCCTATCCCCGCGTTAACACCTGAATTCCTGTTTTCAATTCTTTTCGCCCTGTAAGCTTGGCTTGTCGAGTCAGCAAGCATTTTCTTGTATTGCAAAATCTCCTTGGAGTCCCTACGCTTTCTCTCCTCTGGTAAATCGAGGAACGGGCTCTTCCGACCAGCTACTGGTGAATTTCGTGGGCTGTTCCGCGGAGAAGGGCGAGGACTTACAACAAGTCGATTGCATGAAGCGGCAACAGTGGACGTTATAGGATTCATTTAAAAAAAAATCGAAACCCTTTGACCACTATTCTCTTATTTTTGTTTGAGCGATTTCTTATGCAAATCGTGCTTTCGCACTCTGCAAAAAGTCCTTTCTTTGTCGTTCAATGAATATGCGTTGCAAACACTTGACTCGATATTGAAGGCTGCCTGTTCTCTTTTTCTTGTTTTCCTTGTGCCGACGATGCTCCTCTGCGCTGAAGCGACTTCCTCTTTGAATTTAAGACAATACCAACTATAATTTGCTGATAATCATGAATCACCCTGTTGCGCTTTGCAAGGTGTTTGATAACTACTCCTTTAAATTCATTGGACAGTCATGCACAGCGAAATGTCTTACAAGAATATTCGTGGCTCCTCAAACTGTGATTACCCACAACGCTAAATCAAGTTTTTGCCTAGCGGTAAGCGATTCGAATCGAAACAAACACAGTTTTTTTTAATACCGCACTTTAAATTTCCTTTTATGGTCGTAGGAGGGCGGTTAATCCTGTATTAGTTTTACCTGACGTTAAAATCGTAGTCAACTGCGACTAGGCGACGAAGGGTTTAAATTCATGCGTAAACGTCAGTTTAGCTTTTTTTGGTACAAACGGACATTCAAAAGTCAAATTAGCATTTTCTGATTCCAATCAAGTGTTAGAAACTCGTTTGCATTCAATAAACAGCTACTAAGAAGAGCAACCCTGGAACATCATTTAGCTTTTAAATTATTCAAAGACGAGATTCGAAATGAGGAAAATGGCGAATCATCGTGCATCAATTTGCGAGTGATATTTCCTGAATTAAAACGTTTTGGGAGCCAAGGTTTCGCTAATATTTGGTTTGAAAGTCAAGTGTCAACTCAGTTCCTTCCCCCAATGTGATCCATTGTGGTAGGAATAATTATTCACTTTGATGAACTGGGAAACAAATGAGGCTAGCAACGAATAGGAAGGCCAATATTAAACCTACCTATTCGACTTTAAACTAAGGTGCCGTAATTCTGCAAGGGAACAATAGACAAATAACCTTCAGTGTAAAGTTTTTATTCGGGCCTTTTTATTTATTGACAAATTTCAAGAGATCAAAGAATAATAGAAATAAATTTACGTCTTTTGTTTCGCAACAAAGGAAAATCCCCAACTCAGAGTCAAATTAATTTCAACATGGTAGAATCGCGGCAAAAATTGTGCACGAACAGGCTGAAAATCAAGGCAAAAAAATAAGCTATATTTTAACCAACAAAACATGTTAAATTACACCAGGTTTCACAAATGAAAATCAGTGAAAGGAAACCAGAGGGCTGGTTTAAACAGAGTTCATTTGCTTTCAATTGCGCAGAATTTGTCGTTGACATTAAACCATTAGGCAGCTTTTATGAAGCAAAACAATTCTAAACCGTGTTTAACTAAACACCTTTAAAGCATTTTTAAGCTTTGGTGCGAATGAAGCACAAGTCAAACGCCAAACGTCTAGAGAAAACAAACGCACCAACAGACATAGAAAGAATTAAACCACGTCCACACTACGTGTTTCGTGTTAACAAAATGCATCTAAAGCTCTGTCTCCGCCATACTGGCGTTTAAGCGTCGTTTTTCTTTAAGTCCAAACAAGCGTTTTCGCGTCGGTTTTCGCCGTTCATACAAATTCATCGAAAAAGTATATCAAGCGGTACACACATTTTCGTTCCCAGGTTCCTCTTAAAAGTATTTACTACTCAGTCTGCACGTTCTGATAATTTGGTTTATAGTAACCATGGTAACGACCACAATTTTTATGCTTGGCAAAAATTGCGGCGATTGGCAAGATTCATTTTGTTTGGGCCACTGATTAAGTTGAACTGTTTTTTAGTGTTGTAAATGAATGCAAAGAAAGAAAGCTGAAGACACTGTTCGAGCGTCATTTCGAAGAAAATACTGTACACCGATTACTGAGGTAACTATCTGTGACAATGTGAACTTGCCATGTTTCTGTTTGTTGTTTTTGTTGTTGTGGTTTTTGAGAGCAACAAAACGCCGCAGACCAGAACATGTATTTATGATTTGACCAACAACTTTTTTTTTTGACGCACATTTTGCCCGACATTTGGAATAAATTGGACTAAACGGATTTATTCATTATCTAATTTACTTCTTCTTTGATTCATTTGTATCAGATTCAGTTTTTGCTTCAAAAGGGTACTACTCGATTACTCTATCCAAGTACTCGATCAAGAGCCCCGCAAGATCTAACGTGAATACTCTGAGTTAACCACGCCGTGTGTGAGCCGCAAAATTGCCGGAAGACTGGGGCATCCCTGATTTTCATCTTCTCCGACAGGCGTAAGCTTAGGAAGGGAGTACCCAGAATGAAGACTGACAGTGAGACTTGATTGAGACTTGCAGCCTCGTTTTCGCCTTGGCCCCAGTTCTCAAGGTCAAGGTCACACTGTGATCTTGGCCGTGCCCCTGAGGCCCAGGTGATTCCGTATTCAGGATAGCCAGTTTTCAGACAGTTAACGTCGAGAATTTGGATGTAAATTTTCTATTCTCTCCAAAGTTGTAGTTTAGAAGAATTTTAATTGATTTTGTTATTTTTTATAGCGTAATAAGATTATTTTGGATGTTGCTGTTGTTACTGTTTTAATATAGCTAATTAAATTTTCCGTTCTCTCCGACGGCGTTGAAAACACCGGAAAAAAAAAACGGTGAATACGTAGCAGCAACTTTACCCTCGAAACAATCGATTGAAATTTGAAGTTTTGGTTTTTGAGGAGAGGGGGAAAGCGGAGTACCAGGAAAAAAAACCTCAAGAAGCAAGAACAAACAACAAGCCATCACATAGAGCGGTTTTCATTTGAGTGTCGAAAAGTAATTGGTTTTGCACTTTCTACACGATGCGATTGGCTTAAAAGATTCGCGCCACCTTTTCATCCAATCAGAAGTAAAACCAAAGCCAATTGTGACGCACTTTGCGTCAGCCACATGTAATTACTTCGAGTTTTGATTGGTTCAATGTATTGTCTGTGTCCTATGTGATTGGCCAGAGTAATTACTTTGGTTTTGGTTTTACGACACTCAAACGAAAACCACTCTAAGGCGTCGTCTCCTTTTAAGACTTCAGGAGGTATACAATGCAAACATACAAAGTAGACTGCCAGTAATTACATATTCTTGCATAAATATCTATACTGAGAGAAACGGAGGGGAATGCTCAAGGGCAGGTCTTAACACTTGGCAAAAATAAAAACAAGGAAGAGTGAACTTAGCGTGCGGTTTAAAGCTGCGTGCAAACAAACGTAGCAACTCCCGACATTGTTGGGCCAAAAATGTTGGAAGTTGTTGCGTCTGTGTTAGCAGTGGTATGCAAACAGATGCAACAACTCCAAACAATGATGGGACCTGCAGTGCATGGTGGGAACGATACATCCCATAATACTTTGTAAACCAAGTATAATGCGCGTGCGTGGTCCCAACAATGTTGGAAGAGCTGTGAAAACGGATCCAAACTTGTTGCGCTACTCTTCGGCGATCACGGAACAAAAGAAATGTTGGGAGTTGTTGGCTCAAAAGTTTGATGGGTTTAAAACTTTGCACAACAACACGCAACAACATGCAACAACATGCAACAACATGCAACAGGGTGTGCAAACGGACGCAACATGTAACATCCAACAATGTTGCGTCCGTTTGCGCGAGGCTTAACGTCATGTCAAGAGCGAGCTTAGTGCTGAGTTCAGCCGGTCGTGCTTCATGCCAGGAGGAAATTTTGAAGCTGCAGCCGATAACAATCAAACAAATTTCATGCCGGTCTGGTAGCCTTTATTTGGAATGAAAAAGAGAGCTATTTGTTCAGAAAAGCTACATTATATAGACATTAAACACATCATCCAGATAACAGCGCATTTGATAACACTACATAACAACTCAAAAAAAACTGATTGGGCCGTACTTGGTGTACCACCCGCATATCGCCGTCAGACCTCATTTTTCTCTTTCCCTTCTAAGCACGTCCTGCTTTTTAGCTGCCTTGTGACGTCACCTTACTACACATCCGGGCTACTAACCCTGACAACTGTAGCAAGCTATTAACTCCTTCCACTATTCTCATGTGTGTGTATCCAATTTCCTGCAAGACGACATCAAATAAGTTGCTTTCTGATTGTTGCACTCGTTCTTTCGTTGTTTGGTTTCTGTTGTTTTACCGTATAATTAGTTAGTTTAATCTGCGCGCCGAATGAGGTTTACGCAAATAGTCAATGCGTAGACTGAGAGAAGAATTTTCAAAGTTACTCCAACTCCACATGTAACCCGCGCTGGTTGGGATGAGAACTATAGGTAGACTGCAAACAGTCTAGTCAATGCACGAAAATACTCTTTTGATGAGTGTGTGCTCCCTGCGTTCGGAGCTTATTCAGGGTGGGGGGACTGTTATATCCCAAGGAACTTTCTATTAGTTCGAGTTTATGGTCATTCTAAAGTTACAGTGAGATTAAGAAACATAAGAACGAGATATTATCATAGATAGTGATATTAGATATTATCCTACACTGGCTGTCCAAGTATTTTAAGCCTTGAGATGTTGCGTGTGCCTCCAAATTGGATTGCAATGTTTGGGCAGCCAATTTGATATTTTCTGTTGAACTATCCACGTAAATATTGCACAAAGTGGTTTGTTGTTGCTATTTTTTGTTTTGTTTTTCTTTTCTGGCGACCAATATTTTGTCTAGAAACCATTTTATTTAAGGTCGCCAAAAAGTGACTTTGAAAAAAACGTTGTGAGCCCAGAGCACTGGGATCTGATAAAATGGCTTCAATTTTGAAGAATCATAGTTTCCATTAGAAAATTTTGCGCAATTTTCCCTAAGCCATATATATACATATATAAAAAGTTTAAAACTCGTTCAAGTTTTCGTGGCCATTTTGGCTATGTTCTTGAGTTAACTTTAAAACTACGGAGGGTCGCCTTCTGTTGAAAAAAAACTTACCTTGATGAATTCTAGCTTGAGGTACTCTGACATATCGTAATTTTTGCAAACGCGGAAGATATTCGTTATGATGTCCTCAGCAGCGTAACCCATGTACCAGAGATGTGCAAGAACCTTATAAGCTTCGTCTACATTACCGCTGGTGCATGATTTAATCATTTCCCGAATGAGAAGAGGGTGGGGCTCGTCACAAACCTACAAAAACAAAACAGGACCGTGGCTACCCTGAAAGCAACAGGCCATTTTCGAGTTCCACTTTTTAAACGAGGCAAAGAGCAAAACCTTTCTTGTGAAATTTGCGTGCGAATAAAAAATCATTTTCATATCGATTCAATGGTTTTGCACTGAGCCTCGCTTTGAAACTGAGGCCTGGGGCAACTCGAAAATGGCCTACTTGTCTCCTACGCAGTCGTAATTTGGGTCGTCACGCAACGCCCTCCTCAAAGAGAGAAGGTCACGCGCGAGCCAGACGGCTGTTTAACCTCCTCTGCGCGCGAGCGATCTGTGAAGTATTGGGGCCAGGGCGGATAAATGTTGGGCGGTGAAACGAGCGCTCCGCTCTTCATTTAATGTGTGATGCGGAGTAGGACTGGCACGAGCGCTCTTTCCGCGCTTCCGGTGCGCTTGAAGGCCGGCGAAATTTTCCTTTTTGCAAACCGGAAATCCTATTTTCTTTCTGTAATTTCAGGCTACAATGTTAAATAGATAAATTCGTTTCATAACAATATCAATAAACAGTTTCATATGTTTGTGTCTGTACGTCTATAAGTCAAACTTGTTGGTCGTATAATGCCAAAATTTGAGTTTTATTTGAAAGTGTTGAATACCTCCCCCTTCCACTAAATATAACCTAATGGTCTTTCACCGTTTCGTTTGCAAAAGCTTAACACTTCTTAACCTCAATTTTTACATATGTTAAAGAAGGATAAATTTTATATAACATAACAAAAAATTACATTGATATATATTGATATAGTGGCGGTGTACTTCTTCAAACTTTGCTTCTCGGGTGCAACGCGCCATGGCGATTCGCGCAATGCGTTGCAAATCCGGCAACCGCATGTAAACAAAATTTGTTGAGGTTAGTTGTAAGGTTTTTTCTCCGTTTTTCTCTCTAAAACAAAACAAGGTAAACAGTAAAAACTGATGGGAAACTAATTTTGAAGTTTCGAAGAAACAGAAAGACGTATGAGATGTTTTTTTCAAAATTAAAATGAAGGATGATGGTAATTGAAATTAGCATAATTTCGCCTTGCACGAGCTGCACGCATTTATAAAATACACGTCATCTACTGCTGTCTTTTAGTTTTGCCATGGATGACATGGATGAGATTTTCCTTCGTGTTTTAGACAGTACTTAGTTGTTTTTGTTTTGGAATAACATCGACATTGGCGAGTAGCAGAACGAAAATATAATTCAGTTGTAGAGTCATGGAAGTAATAAGAAACTCTTTGAAAAAGATGTTTGTCTACTCCAACTAAACCTCCCGCAAAAATAGCAACATTTGCCTCTCGGAGACAGCGTACCAGCACAAAGGAACGAGGAAGAAGTGCAAGAAAACAAATCAAGCTGCCATAATTCAGTGACAGCGGCAGTGTCTAATGTACAAACCATATCGCAAGCCCTGACCGAAGTCGAAAACAAGCGACATTTCTAAGCAGAGTCCCAGTCCACTGCATCACACCTTTTTGCTCGGACGCGCTCGTTTCACCGCCCAACCTTTATCCGCCCTGATTGGGGCTGCTCTCGCGCACCGCTTGCTACTTGCGCGTGATGCCTTTGCCACTCGTGGCTCTCAAAGGGAAACCTTCATGCAGCATAACCCTAACAATTTGAAGGACCCGACCAACATGTAATATTCAGAACATTTCAGTCTTACCTTAAAGACGTTTTCACTATTGACAAATCCAAATCCGTAGAATGTTGACTGAAGGTTATTTATGGCCTGAGGGAACAAATTAGAAAGTAATACATTACTTTATCGGAAAACTTGAACTTGAACTGATAATTGCTCCAGTGAAGAATGACCAGAAGCAAGACTTTAAAGGCGAGATAATAAAGAACAGAAGTACTCTCTTTCTATATAATACAAACATGAAAAAATGTAGTCATGTAGGTGTGACGTTTTTCTTGCCTCCAAATCCACCATCCTCCAAATTAACTCAAATTTGCCACAGACGCTGTTGAAAGTTAGTGCTCTACTTTAAGTACCTTCGAGGGGAAAGGTCTGTTTGTCAAGAATAAGGAAATTACTATTGCTTTAAATCTGTAACTGAGATGGGAAAAACCCTGACTGGTTTTCTGTTGCTATTTCTTAGACCTGTCAAAATGTCAATTTGTCAATCTATTGTTCTAGCTCGCTCATCTCTCATCATGTCCAGCAGACCCTGGTCCTTGTGTTTAAGTTACTTCCTTTGAAAACAACTAAGGAACCAAGTTTCTTTCAAGCTTAATTTGTGCACTTTGTGTAAGTTAGAGCTCATTTCAAGGAAATTGGATTTCAAGACAAACGCGTAACTTGTGTCCCTTTTTTTCTAGGTTATTCTCTGTTTACTTTCCTGTTTGTTCATCTGTCTCACCTGTCTCATATCCCCTTGAGCTGTGAACACGATCGCCTCCATACCATCATCTGTTTTGGCAACCTAGCAGCGGAAAAATCAATCACTTTGTTGTCAAAATAGATTACAAAATTACACACCCATCTTGACAAGCTGTGTACGTTTTTTGTCCCAGGAAGAAAAAAAACTATATTTAGTTTGCAATTCAAGATGAAAAATACCAAAGAAATGGCACTGACGTTATACAAAAACAGTTCTCACCTCTTCTTTTTCACAAACTTCTAACAACCTGTGTAACACCTGAGCATCTGTTAATCTTGAGTACCTCAAAACAGCACATCTTGATTGGATTGCCTCTGATTAAAATATTAAAAAAAAAATGTCAAATATCTTTTCATTATACTGGTATCACTTGTAAAAGCTCAAAGCAGCCTTTGAAAAAGTAAAACAATCCATGATGAGTTTCTGTGGAAATGAAAACTGAAGGAAAAGAAATCAGTAATGCTTCACTGACTTTGGTAAATATTATAACAAAATAATATGGAATATGCTTATTCCTGGTTTTTAACTCAAAGATATATGAGGCATACAGCATAAATTGCAATAAGGTTATTTATTTATTTATCACTTTCATTGTTTTTGCACAAACGAGAATATAAATTGCAAAAATGCACAACTAAGCACATAATTTATACTGATTACCCTTATTTGGCATTAGGCACAGTATTAACCCTTTATCCACCGTAAAATTTAATATCCACATAAAAATTCTCCAGACAGACCTCTGAGAATTAGTTCAGAAAATTGGATAAATGATTGAAGAATTTTCCTTTTGGTGATCATTTTATTAATTCTCATACCTGTTTATCTTGATGATGTATGGATATTGTTGGGAAAAAATTAAGGTTGCCATTCTTAGGAATTAAAGGGTTAATTCTATTTTGGAATTTGATTGTTTCTTCAGATAGTAAAACTTTGAACCTCCTGTGAAGTATTGACAACATACTGACTTGGCCACTACTCCGTTATTTGGGGGTAGGAATGGAGGTGGAGGGGAAAACAGCCAAAGTACTCACCAATAATTTTATCTGAAGTATTGCAAGCTAATGCAAACCGTGTGGTTTTGGAATAGATTTCCATTGTTCTTCTAAGTGCCTGCTGTGCTCCATCTGTCATGCTAACACAAAAAAACAGAGTAGCTCTTAATTATTGAACTAAATTCAAAATCTGCACTTACCAGTTCATTCTCTACACATAGACAAGAGCAACTGGCAGTTAATACTATTGTTTCACTGAATATTCTCAAACTCATTAATACTTCATAAAGAAAATACAAAGGATATAAAGTTTAATGAGTGTTTGGAAATCAGATGAAAAACTGCTCATTTTTGCATCCTTAATTTCTCCTTCTAAAATAATTTTGTTTGAGAAGTAAAATCAAGCATTCGACACAGTGTTTTATCACCAGAGGAAACACTTCGAAGTTCGTCAAAAATACTCTGCTGCAGTCATATTTTCAACTCTCTTCTCAGTGTTTCATCTCGTGATGAAACACTGTGTCTCATACTTGGTATGTTACGTCAATAATTTCCATATTGGCTAGTTCTCAGATTAAAAATTCTGGATGAAATCGTATGGTGTTACCATTCATATCAAAGTACCTCTTTCTAAACTCTTTCTAAATTTTACATCTGAAAATTCATATGAATTTCAAATTTGAGTAATTAATACTAAAACTTACATTAAGAATAAAGACAACCGTTAAATGACCTTATCGAAACAAACCTGTCTGCCTCATCCAAAATTATTATTTTGTGTCTGCCTTTTGGTAAAGTTACTTTCTGTTGAGCAAACATCTTGATCTTGTTACGTACCACATCAATTCCTCTGCAATAATGTCAGAAGAAAATTTGTGAAAATTACAATTCCTTATGGACTAAGGCTGATTTCAAGATTGATGATTTACTGTTAATGACAAATTTGTGTTAATCCTAAATCCAACCAAAGAATAGTTTAGGTTAGAATCAAGCTCCTTCACCTAAAAAAAAGGGAAAAATCTTAACCTTTGATGGTGGAATTCTGATTTTGTAATTTGAGTATCCATTTTTGTCAGAATGCTACACAGAAGCCATGTTTCCCCACCCCAGAACTTGCCTTCCTTCAGTGTTGTTGACCAGTAAACAAGGAGACTTATGGGTACCACGGTATTGCAACACCTAGTACTTGTAGCAGAAATAGCCTGAGACCAGTCATCGTAGTGGGGGAAAGAGGCAAAAAACAGAGTGAAACAGCAAAAAAATAAAAACTGGTGAGCAAAGTGAGCCACACGGGGGGACTGGAGAGGGGAAAACTTGGCTGCCGCCCTTTCCCCTTGCCAGACTCCCGCTTGGCGCACTTCCCTCGGTAATTTTTTTTTTGCCTTTTTTCCACCACTGCAGAGTCCCAGGCTATAGCAAAACAAGAAGGACCCTTATTAGGAGCCATCACACCTCGTTTTGGGTTGTTCCAGGAGATGTCACTGTACATGTACTCCCTCACGAAGGTGATGGCTAGAAACTGGAGCAGAGAAAGTGACCCTGATGTGGAGGCATCTCTAACGGAACACTCTTTATATTGAAGCTCCCCTTAAAAGAATTCTTTTTTTCATCTGAGACCTTCCTACAATGTACAAGGCCCTTTCATCTGGTACACATACCTGTCATTAGATGCATTCAATTCAAGAACAGCATCTTTAAAAGATGTACCAAGTAGAGCTCTGGCCAGACATAGGATACTTGTTGTTTTTCCTGTACCAGGAGGACCCTGAAAATTAAATTTATCAACTCCCTTGATATAAAGAAGCTTTTTTAAAATACGTTTTAGAAACATAAAATCCAGCTCCAGTGTTTCAAAGACTACGACAATTGTCAGTCCTCAACTCTCAATCACTTTTTCATCAGCTCTTCCACTTCTTGAAACAGATATTGTGTGACTTTTTTATAGCCAAAACCAAACATCCTAATACATGTACTTCTAAGTCTTCATCCTGTTTTCTCCCTTACAGTAGGTGAGTTGAATAATAGACAAAGGCATTATTGTGCTACATTCATTATTTTTTGTGTGATACATCTAAGTGCAAAATTCCTTCTTTCTGACAGAATGTTTTACTTACAGCAATAATAATGTTTGGAACATTTCCTTGCTCAGCAAAAACCTAAAACAAGAAGAGTACGCAATCATTTCAATTTTTAAGTAAAAAGACTGTGGAATGTTGCATATCATGTGATGTGGTACAGCTGTGCATGCATGAACCACAAGAGAAATGTAACAACAGAGGGATAAAAAATTGAAGCAGCTAATATTATGAGCAAAATGAGCATTAAACAAACTAACCACCACAACAACATGACATTTACTGCGCGACCACTACCTCTAAACGGCTGACAGTCTCCTCATTTCCGACAATTTCATGAAGTTTAGTTGGTCTGTATTTCTCAACCCTGACAGAGAACAGAGTATAGCAATCATCATGGTGTATGCTCTTATGACGTGCACATAGCTCAAAAGTTGGCAGAGTTAAGGATCTGTACTAACTGTGAGTTGGGATTAAGCTTTTTCCCCTGAAAATCACAGTTCTACACGTATGGCCCAAACGTGAAGTGCATGAGCCACAAATTCAAGCGGAAGAAAGAGTTTCTGTAACTCACAACATCAACCAAGAAAAGGAAATTGGTCAGAAAAAAGGAGAATTCTTCTATCCTACTTTCTGTTTATTATATCTTGGGGTTTAAGTAAAGACTGAGAGGCTATCAAAGATTTCACTCTATATGCAGGCAGAACAGCCATTGATGATCAATGTGCATCAAATCCTCCAAAATCATGGCTTTGAGTCTTTAAAAAAACTACATGAAACAAACTGTTTTAACAATGTTTTGCTTTCACGAATAGTGTCCAAAACAATCTTTTGAATTTAGTGGTCTGCAAAATAAGATGCTGTCTGCTAAAGTGATCAGTCAAACTGTGTATACTAATAATTATATAAAAAACTCTCTTAGGCCTGGTTCAAACGTCGAACTTTACATGTGCCAAACCTAATTAATTATTAGGTTTGGCACTGTTCGTACATGTAAAGTTCGACGTATGAATCTATTAGGAATGGCACTTTTGTATTTGGGTTGACTCTGCCGTTCTATTTTACTGAGCTTGTCGAATAAAACGGCAAAAGATCGACTTTGATTCATACGTAGAACTTCACATGTGCAAAACCTAATGCATAAGTTATGTTAACATATTTTTCAATATAACCGCACTTCTGCTTGGCTATTTAGAGGTTTTTGCGCCTTTGCAATCACGAACTCACGGAAGCGTAACGATGATTACCAGCATTCACGTTGTAGTTTTTTAGACTGAGACTGGGCAGGTTCAAAGTCTTCTAAAAAGTTGCTTTTCTTTATATCCAAAAAAAATCGTAATGTATTTTAAAATTTATGGCATTACTTTATTTTGTCCAAATATCAAGATCACGATCTCCTCGGCTGTCTCCTTGCCATAACAGGCCACAAATCACGCCAAAATCAAAACAAGAATTTCCAGGCTTGATGAATTTTACTTTTTTCAGTTCATTTCCTTATTTTAAGAAGTAAAGATGATATTTCTTTTCCCAATGAATTAGGTTCGGCACATGTTAAGTTCGACCGTCTGAATTAACAGTCAAAATTAATAGTTTGGGTCGACCTAAATAGAGGCCCTGCCATGGGGGTCCCACGTCGCCCGTCTGAATTTTAAAACGTCTAGCGTTGGAGTTTATAAATGCTTGTCGCTTATTCTCGGCTTTGCTGTCACNTGTTCGTACATGTAAAGTTCGACGTATGAATCTATTAGGAATGGCACTTTTGTATTTGGGTTGACTCTGCCGTTCTATTTTACTGAGCTTGTCGAATAAAACGGCAAAAGATCGACTTTGATTCATACGTAGAACTTCACATGTGCAAAACCTAATGCATAAGTTATGTTAACATATTTTTCAATATAACCGCACTTCTGCTTGGCTATTTAGAGGTTTTTGCGCCTTTGCAATCACGAACTCACGGAAGCGTAACGATGATTACCAGCATTCACGTTGTAGTTTTTTAGACTGAGACTGGGCAGGTTCAAAGTCTTCTAAAAAGTTGCTTTTCTTTATATCCAAAAAAAATCGTAATGTATTTTAAAATTTATGGCATTACTTTATTTTGTCCAAATATCAAGATCACGATCTCCTCGGCTGTCTCCTTGCCATAACAGGCCACAAATCACGCCAAAATCAAAACAAGAATTTCCAGGCTTGATGAATTTTACTTTTTTCAGTTCATTTCCTTATTTTAAGAAGTAAAGATGATATTTCTTTTCCCAATGAATTAGGTTCGGCACATGTTAAGTTCGACCGTCTGAATTAACAGTCAAAATTAATAGTTTGGGTCGACCTAAATAGAGGCCCTGCCATGGGGGTCCCACGTCGCCCGTCTGAATTTTAAAACGTCTAGCGTTGGAGTTTATAAATGCTTGTCGCTTATTCTCGGCTTTGCTGTCACTGTCACAATTTGGCCGAGGGAGGTTGTCTCTTGTCGTGATTTCATTTTAAACGCTGTCGCTACTTTTTGGGCCATGTCGCTTGTCGGAATTTACCCTGGTAGGGCCTCTAAATAGGAATTAGGTTTGGCACATGTCAAGTTCGACGTCTGAACCGGGCCTTAGCCTTCGCAGGAGGCTCTTCTTTGCCAACACATGCTTTAAAACCTTTAACCCTTTCACTCCCAGAAGTAACTAAACTCAACATTAGAGATTTCAAAATCTGGTCAACCACACAATTTATGTGAAATATTCTTTCCTTTCTACGTCGAGGATCGGAATCAAAACATAGCAAATTACAAGTTAAATTCGAAGCATGAGCTTACTAGTTTGTTCTTTACAAAGACTACAAAGCCTCACAAATGAAGGGATTAAACAGTTTTCCAAAAAGTACAGGCGACTGGGTAAGTTTGTCGGCTAAATCTTTAAAAATATTTCGCGTGAAAAAAGTATAAAGAATAAAATCTCCAAATAACGAACAAACAAGCAAGATTTCATTCAAAGAATAATAATATGATCATACTCATAGATTGCACAGACATGCACGTTCGCTTACCATGGGAGTTCAAAACCTTTCGATTGTTTTCCGGAGCTAGTGCTTGCACCAGATGATCCTTTAGCTTGTACTTTTTCTTTCTGTGGAATATCTATCTCCATCGCTGCGTCTTTTGATTTTTCAGAGCTTGTTGTGGTTGTCTCTACTTCCATACTTTCGTCCGCCATTTTGATTTTTGGTCACGTGGACTAAATTTGGCGCCAAATCATGAACTGGGGCCCAATTTCCCGCGTACATAGGATTTTTTTCCTCGAGACAATTTGATCATTTTTGGATAGAAAGTTGTTTTTTTTCTAAGAGAAATTAAAAACTTGAACATTTTTTTTGGTAAAATTTGACTTAAACTCGAAGTCAAAAAATAAAAAAGAATAAAATTTCACCCTAGTACAGCTTGTAATTATTCACTATCCGAGCATTTTAACGAACTTTTTACGAGTGACAGAGCATTTTAATGGTCATTGAGCATTGTAGCTGGCAAACAGAAGCACAACTGTGTACAAAAGCCGACAAATTTCGAGATTTGAAGTGACAATTACCACTAAGGAAAAATCCCTGGGAATGAGATTGGAAGAAAGAAAGAAAGAAACGAAAGGGAAACGATAGCTTAAGCTGAGAAAATGGAAGCTAGAAACCCTGTGATGAGTCAGTATATGCTTTTAGTAAAATCCAGCTAGTGGTCCGTTATCAATGCTGCGTTCTGATTGGTTGAGCTACTACTAGGCTATATGTTATAGCCCACTAGTAGCGAAAAGCGCCGGCTTTTTGGCGGCAAAAAAGGATTAAAATCTAGCTTTAACTAGCTAAAGTTGTTTTGTCTCGATATTTTTTTACCAACCAGCTGGATTTTACTAAAACAATTGTTCCTCTCGCCCTCATGGCCTCTGAGTCAATAGCCCATGAGGCCGAAGAGCCCATTCGGGCTCGAGGAATAATTGTTACGGACTTGGGTAGACATATACACAATCGATACGAGTAGCCTCGACAAGCGGACTCGCAGGCACACACACCAGTATGGGTCAGTGAAAAGCAAAGAATAAGGTCTCTTGACATCCTGAACAAACCATGTGCGAAAAAATACACTAGAGGAAAGGTTAGCCGACCTCGACTGCACGCTTCTCTATATTATTCTAGAGTCAAACATGAGTTAATGTGAACGACACATGAACTCTGCTTTAAAAACACAGGCTTTCCTTTCTGTCGTCAAGAAAATGCATACTTAGCGGTTTCATTGTATTTAAATAATCAAAATTTGAATACTCTTGATCATCGAAGCAACGGCTGACACACTTAATAATCAAAATCTAATCTGCAATAGTGTAAACAAAAAGTAAATTGCACCACAAAATATCTTAGTTTAGTTTTTGATCCTTAGCATTTATTCTTTTTTACACAAGTGTTAATTTTCGTGTAAGACTAAACTGCCGAGCCATCCTCGGTGTAAAAACCTGTGAATCTCACGAGTGACGTAAAACAATGAATGCAAAGAAGCCACTGAGAAGTCAACACCTTAGAGCCAAGGATAATAATAGCTAGAAAACAAAGGAAAACTTCACAGGTTTTTACACAGAGGTAAACCCCATTCTTATTTGGGGCTTATGAACAATACTCCCACACTTGTTAATTTATTCCAAACTACTATAATAAGCTTTTCGAGAACATAAAGATTACATACTTTTCTTTTCAAACACTAATGAGCTAGGGTATGAGAATGACTGTATTCACAGATCATTTACGGCTTAAGGGCTTATTCTCAAACCAATTCTATGAAATGAAAATGACCTTAATGAACCCGTGTTTAACATTGGAACCGAGTTTAATAACTATGCTCGCCGAAGCGTTGCCCGGCAAGCCGAACATTTACAGCTGCATTTACAGGGGATTCGAAGACAGCATCCCGAGACAGCAGTGAAATCTCACAGCTAGAGGAGTAATGCGAAATGCCTCGAAATATTCATAATGGAGTCCTTGACATGTCTTTGACGGTCACGAGTCCGCTCACTCGGGGAAGGCTACAAGGAGACGGATATTTCTCGCAGGAAACTTCAAGAAAAGTGCTTCCTGCGAATAAAACACCGAGAAAAACAAAAGCTCAACTTCATGAAAACTCATCTATTAAATTGCCTGTTCTCACAAGATCAAGGAAAACCAATAACGAAGAAAACAAAAACTTGCAAGTTCTTTTGCGCGGGATACGATGCTTTAACCTAACTTATCAGAATTTATTGCCAGAAATGCCACATAAGTCAAGTCAGACCGAATCTTCTGCCACTCGCGACTCACATGTATGTGTGTCCGATGATAGCAGAGATATCAAGCAAGAAAACGGGCCAATTTGGGATCAGAGCAGAGAAGAAAGTGTTCCGATTGATAAAGATGTTGAAAAAGAAAAGGACAATTTTTTGCCGCTTGTTTGTTCAATCCTAGAGGGTCAACGATTAAAAATTCGCCAAAAAGAGGGCTTTCAAGCAAAGCGCAGTAAACAATTCAAATGTAAATCGACGGAAAAGGAAAAGAAACCGCCATGTCGGGCTGGTTCAACGTCTGAAGACTCTGACATTGAAAGTGTTTTAAAGAGATCGACACCGACAGATTCAGAAACATTTAGTTCCTCTATTCCGGCGGTAACTGAACACGTTAAGCCAAGCAAGGGAAATGCGCGAGCGGTATTTCACCTGCCGAGGGCAGATAAATACGATATCACACCAAGAAACATTATCAATAGCAAAACCTGTGCTGTGTTTAAAGAGAGCCATAAGCAGTCCTTATTCAAATCAAGTTACAAAGACAGCTGGATTCCTCTTAGGGACAGTTCATTCATCAGAAATTCCGTGTTTAAAGCTATCATACAACAACCGGTTGTGTTTCTACGGCAACCATCTCCCGTGGCTGGGGTTAAAATGACTTTATTAAAAGAACACGAGGCTACTATAGCGGCAGCAATCCAGACTGTAAAGAAAACAAACGTTCAAACTCCGTCTGTTGATGCAGAGGTTTCACCACATGTAAAGAAGTTTGTGATTAGGCTGCCGCCGATATGCTAAAGGAACTTGCGTTGAGTTGCTAGACGAACTTTGTTATTATCTTCAAACAAAGTCGATTTCGTCAAATGTTGTGCTCTTCACGCCTCAAGAAATTATCAAATAAATGTAACCAAATTCTATAATCAATGCACAGGAAACACAAATCGAGTGGGTTTACTGCCTTTGTGAACACAGCGGAGTATATCAAAGAAGTGACTGAGCCTGGATGACAGCTGGGATTTACTAAAATGGGGAGCGAGCACGGGGAACGAGAAACTATGAAGAATGGCCGAAAGAAAATCTAAGTTGAACTCTAGCCCTATCTGTAAATAACCTCCATGGTTCCAGCAATTCACGGTTTTGTTCGCATTTTTCATTTCCCCGTTCGCCGTGCACGTTCCCCGCTCCCTGTTCCCCGTTTTAGTGACATCCGGGAAAGCTGACAGTTCTTTTATCTACCATCATACACTTTTCAGTATTTGACAGTACCTTAACCGTCACTTCTTTAATAGAGAGATTACCGTAAATCCTCTATTGATTAAGCTACCCTGGGTGCCAGAGGGTTTTTTCCTGTCGTTTGCGGCGAAAATTGAGCAGAGAAGTCGCGATCGTGACGAGCGGTTTTTTTTTCCCGCTCGTCACGATAGCGGCTTCGCCGCTCAATTTTCGCCGCAAACAAAACCTTCTGGCACCCAGGGTACTATTAAGCCCCCTCGGGGGCCTATTTATTTCAAGCACATTTGAGGGGGGGAAGGGGTCTTAATTGAGAGGGGTGGTTTATTTAGTTTAGCGAAACAGGACGCTATGCATTCCTTTTCAAACGACCAGAAGATGATATCAATTCTCCATATAAAGAGCTAAAAGGATATGAAGTTTGAGGCGTAGTATGTATTAAATATGGTGAATAAACGATACCGGAGTTAGTCCACATGAAGTGTTACAGTTACCTGTAGTGATTAGTTGCTAATTAGAGAGGTGGAGCTTATTAGAAGGAGAGCGCTAAATCAAATGAGTACGGTATGTCCTGTATTATACGGGTATTGTACGTGAAATAGAACCTTTGAAGAATCTGGTCACATATCACTTAATAACGGCTCACTGGATGGCAAGTCATCCAAGCGTTCGTTTAGATCACAAAGCGTCGAGTGCGATCGAGCGAAGTATTTCAAGTTCAATCATTCCGTTGAAAATTAATGGTTTTATTCTCAATTAATAGTTAAGTATTATTCTGTTGAAAATTAATAATTTCTAATTTAATTATTCTGTTGAAAGTTTATCGCTACATCAGTGAATCAAACTGAAGAATAAAAACAGTTCAGTCTCAATTCAATAAAGTCAATAAAGACGAAAATACCATGGTACTTCTCGGGAATAAATGAGTGAAGATACTCTGAGATTCGTATTCAGCAGTGTGGTCTGGATGGTTACACACAAAAAAAGAACCTTGATAAGTCTAATCAATTATTATTAATAACTTGTATCTCTAGTTTCAGCCCTTCGCGCGCCCTATAGAAACTAACTATAAAAAAAACTAACCAGCGTCTGCCTCGCAGGCTCAAGTCATTTGGTGGCCTAGTGGGTCTTCCCCTTATGAAGCTTGGCCAATTGGGGGAAGCCTTACAACAAATTTCTTTACTTGTCGAGTTAATTCAGTGTCAACAGGCGGGGATGCCGTCATATTTGCCTTAGTAGTTGCCGAATTTCCGTTATCTTTTAACACCATTGTCACGCCTGCAGCTTCATGCGATGGCTGCCTTAGAAGCAATGCTGGTCTTTGCATGATTGCTTTAAATACGGCGTTCTTGATGACGTCACGATCCCGGCGTGGAATCCAGCTATCGCTATAACCGGGATATATAATCATTGTTTTTAGAGCGTCTCCTTTGAATACTGAACAAACTTTGACTTCTACGACGGCTGGAGGGTGGATATCGTATTTATCAGCCTTTGGTAACTTAAATGATGGACGCCTATGGTCTTTTCGAGGGCATGTTGACGTGATCATATCAGAACCTGATGTAAGCTTGCCTATCTTCCTCTCTGTCAAATTACGAGGTGTGACACGACATTTACTTCTTATATGGAATTTATCAGTCTTTGGAGACTGTGATAACTGTTGGCAAGCCCTCAGAATGGAGGTGGAGGGGAAAACAGCCAAAGTACTCACCAATAATTTTATCTGAAGTATTGCAAGCTAATGCAAACCGTGTGGTTTTGGAATAGATTTCCATTGTTCTTCTAAGTGCCTGCTGTGCTCCATCCATCATGCTAACACAAAAAAACAGAGTAGCTCTTAATTATTGAACTAAATTCAAAATCTGCACTTACCAGTTCATTCTCTACACATAGACAAGAGCAACTGTTAATGTTAATACTAATGCTAATACTGTTAATACTATTGTTTCACTGAATATTCTCAAACTCATTAATACTTCATAAAGAAAAAACAAAGGATATAAAGTTTAATGAGTGTTTGGAAATCAGATGAAAAACTGCTCATTTTTGCATCCTTAATTTCTCCTTCTAAAATCATTTTGTTTGAGAGGTAAAATCACGCATTTGACACAGTGTTTTATCACCAGAGGAAACACCTCGAAGTTCGTCAAAAATACTCTGCTGCAGTCATATTTTAAACTCTCTTCTCAGTGTTTCATCTGGTGATGAAACACTGTGTCTCATACTTGGTATGCTACGTCAATAATTTCCATATTGGCTAGTTCTCACATTAAAAATTTTGGATGAAATCCTATGGTGTTACCATTCATATCAAAGTACCTCTTTCTAAACTCTTTCTAAATTTTACATCTGAAAATTCATATAAATTTCAAATTTGAGTAATTAATACTAAAACTTGCCTTAAGAATAAAGACAACTGTAAATGACCTTATCGAAACAAACCTGTCTGCCTCATCCAAAATTATTATTTTGTGTCTGCCTTTTGGTAAAGTTACTTTCTGTTGAGCGAACATCTTGATCTTGTTACGTACCACATCAATTCCTCTGCAATAATGTCAGAAGAGAATTTGTAAACATTACAATACCTTATGGATTAAGGATGATTTTAAGATCGATGATTTACTGTTATTGACATATTTGTGTTAATCATTAATCCAACCAAAGAATAGTTTAGGTTAGAATCAAGCTCCTTCACCTTTACTTAAAAAAATAGAAAAGGCAAAAATCTTAACCTTTGATGGTGGAATTCTGATTTTTTATTTGAGTGTCCATTTTTGTCAGAATGCTACACAGAAGCCATGTTTCCCCACCCCAGAACTTACCTTCCTTCAGTGTTGTTGACCAGTAAACAAGGAGATTTATGGGTACCACGGTATTGCAAAACCTAGTACTTGTAGCAGAAATAGCCTGAGACCACTCATCATAGTGGGGGAAAGAGGCAAAAAACAGAGTGAAACAGCAAAAAAATAAAAACTGGTGAGCAAAGTGAACCACACAGTTGACTGGAGAGGGGAAAGCTTGGCTGTCGCCCTTTCCCCTTGCCAGACTCCCGCTTGGCACACTTCCCTCGATAATTTTTTTTTTGCCTTTTTCCACCGCTACAGAGCCTGATCCCAGGCTATAGCAAAACCAGAAGGACCCTTATTGGGAGCCATCATAACTCGTTTTGGGTTGTTACAGGACATGTCACTGTACATGTACTCCCTCACAAAGGTGATGGCTAGAAACTGGAGCAGAGAAAGTGACCCTGAGGTGGAGGCATCTCTAACGGAACACTTTTTATAATGAAGCTCCCCTTAAAAAAAATTTTTTTTTTCATCTGAGACTTTTCTACAATGTATAAGGCCCTTTCATCTGGTACACATACCTGTCATTAGATGCATTCAATTCAAGAACAGCATCTTTAAAAGATGTACCAAGTAGAGCTCTGGCCAGACATAGGATACTTGTTGTTTTTCCTGTACCAGGAGGACCCTGAAAATCATATTTATCAACTTCCTTGATATAAAGAAGCTTTTTTAAAATACGTTTTAGAAACATAAAATCCAGCCCCAGTGTTTCAAAGACTATGACAATTATCAGTCCTCAACTCTCAATCACTTTTTCATCAGCTCTTCCACTTCTTGAAACAGATATTGTGTGACTTTTTTTATAGCCAAATACAAACATCCTTATACATGTACTTCTAAGTCTTCATCCTGTTTTCTCCCTTACAGTAGGTGAGTTGAATAATAGACAAAGGCATTATTGTGCTACATTCATTATATATTGTGTGATACATCTAAGTGCAAAATTCCTTCTTTCTGACAGAATGTTTTACTCACAGCGATGATAATGTTTGGAACATTTCCTTGTTCTGCAAAAACCTAAAACAAGAAGAGTTTGCAATCAATTCAATTTTTAAGTAAAAAGACTGTCGAATGTTGCATATCATGTGACGTGGTACAGCTGTGCACGCATGAACCACAAGAGAAATGTAACAACAGAGGGATAAAAATTTGAAACAGCTTAAATTATGAGCAATAACAAGAACACTCTTACAGCAGCATTCACCCCAACTTGCTTATAAATTAGACCAAGAAATGAGGAGGCGATTAATTCTACACCAGACAGGAGTTACTCAATAAAGGTTTTCCTACTTTATGGATATCGATACTTCTTAATTGTTTGATCTGAATTGATTTAAAACGCATGTTAGCGACGACCGGAAATACGTCTGAACTTGCAGGCTATACGCGTGTATAAATACACATAAATTCAAGGGCCTCAATTCCAGAGAAATAACATCATTGCCAGAGATCAAAAAAGTGTTTTACATGGCACGTCATTTCAATCATCGATGAAAATAAATTGCATGCTCATCACAAGCCCATTTGCATACGATAAAACTTTACAACACCCGACCATCGCGGTTTTGCTAATTTTTATTAAGATTCTTATTTTTTTTCGACCACTCAGTAGTGTTCACTTGTTCCAAAGTAATCAACGCTTCGAAGCAGTAGAATTCGTGGACTGACACGTTTCAGAAAAGCTCTAAATTTAATCTTTCCTAAGCTTTCTTCACAAGAAATGCCTGGCACAATGAGCCCCCTTTTCTGTCCTAAATATGACGAAAAAGGCGTGGCAGATTATGGGTCTCGCTTCTTATGCAAGCGAGACTAACGATCATTAAACAAACTAACCACCACAACAACACAACATTGACTGCATGACCAGTACCTCTAAACGGCTGACAGTCTCCTCATTTCCCACAATTTCATGAAGTTTAGTTGGTCTGTATTTCTCAACCCTGACAGAGAACAGAGTATAGTAATCATCACAGTGTATACTCTTAGGACATGCACATAGCTCAAAAGTTGACGGAGGTAAGGATCTGTACTAACTGTGAGTTGGGATTAAGCTTTTTCCCCTGAAAATTACCGTTCTACATGTATGGCCCAAACATGAAGTGCACAAGCCATAAATTCAAGAAGAAGAAAGAGTTTCTACAAACTCACAATATCGACCAAGAAAAGGAAATTGGTCAGAAAAAAGGAGAATTCTTCTATCCTACTTTCTGTTTATTATATCTTGGGGTTTAAGTAAAGACTGAGAGGGTATGAAAGATTTCACTCTACATGCAAGCAGAACAGCCATTGATGATCAAAGTGCATCAAATCCTAAACACAAAGAACTTTTCCTTGGCCTCCAAAATCATTGCTTTGAGTCATTAAAAAAACTACATGAAACAAACTGTTTTAACAAGGTTTTGCTTTCATGAATAGTATCCAAAACAATCTTTTGAATTTAGTGGTCTGTAAAATAAGATGCTGTCTGCTAAAGTGATCAGTCAAACTGTGTATACTAATATATAAAAAACTCTCTTAGGCCTGGTTCAAACGTCGAACTTTACATGTGCCAAACCTAATTAATTATTAGGTTCGGCACTGCCCGCACATGTAAAGTTCAACGCACGAATCAATTAGGAACAGCACTTTTGTATTTGGGTCGACTCTGCTGTTCTATTTTACTGAGCTTGTCAAATAAAACGGCAAAAGATCGACTTTGATTCATACGTAGAACTTCACATGTGCCGAACCTAATGCATAACTTATGTTAACATATTTTTCAATATAACCGCACTTCTGATTGGCTATTTAGAGGGTTTTGGCGCCTTTGCAATCACGAACTCACGGAAGCGTAACGATGGTTACCTGCATTCACGTTGTAGTTTTTTAGATTGAAACTGGGCAGCTTAAAACAGTCTTCTAAAAAGTTGCTTTTCTTTATATCCAAAAATAAATCATAATGTATTTTAAAATTTATAGCATTACTTTATTTTGTCCAAATATCACGATCACGATCTCCTCAGCTGTCTCCTTGCCATAACAGACCACAAATCACACTAAAATCAAAACAAGAATTTCCAGGCTTGATGAATTTTACATTTTTCAGTTTATTTCCTTATTTTAAGAAGTAAGGATGATATTTCTTTTCACAATGAATTAGGTTTGGCACGTGTTAAGAACGACTGTCTGAATTAACAGTCAAAATTAATAGTTTGGGTCAACCTAAATAGAGACCCTGCCAGAGGGGTTCCATGTCGCCCACCTGAATTTTAAACTGTCTAGTGTCAGAGTTTGTAAATGCTTGCCGCTTATTCTCAGCTTTGCTGTCACTGTCGCAATTTGGCCGAGGGAGGTTGTCTCTTGTCACGATTTCATTTTACACGCTGTTGCTACTTTTTGGGCCATATCGCTTGTCGGAATTTACCCTGGCAGGGCCTCTAAATAGGAATTAGGTTTGGCACATGTCAAGTTCGACGTCTGAACCTGGCCTTAGCCTTCACAGGAGGCTCTTCTTTGCCAACACATGCTTTAAAACCTTTAACCCTTTCACTCCCAGAAGTAACTAAACTCAACATTAGAGAATTTCAAAATCTGGTCAACCACACAATTTATGTGAAATATTATTTCCTTTTTACGTCGAGGATCAGAATCAAAACATAGCAAATTACAAGTTAAATTCGAAGCATAAGCTTACTAGTTTGTTCCTTACAAAGACTACAAAGCCTCACAGGCGGCTGGGTAAATTTGTCGGCTAAATCTTTAAAAATATTTCGCGTGAAAAAAGTATGAAGAATAAAATCTCCGAACAACGAACAAACAAGCAAGGGTTCATTCAAAGAATAATAATATGATCATACTCATAGATTGCACAGACATGCACGTTCGCTTACCATGGGAGTTCAAAACCTTTCGATTGTTTTCCGGAGCTAGTACTTGCACCAGATGATCCTTTAGCTTGTACTTTTTCTTTCTGTGGAATATCTATCTCCATCGCTGCGTCTTTTGATTTTTCAGAGCTTGTTGTGGTTGTCTCTACTTCCATTTCGTCCGCCATTTTGATTTTTGGTCACGTGGACTAAATTTGGCGCCAAATCATGAACTGGGGCCCAATTTCCCGCGTACATAGGATTTTTTTTTCTTAGAGAAATTAAAAACTTGAACATTTTTTTTGTTAAAATTTGACTTAAACTCGAAGTCAAAAAATAAAAAAGAATAAAACTTCACCCTAGTACAGCTTGTAATTATTCACTATCCGAGCATTTTAACGAACTTTTAAGAGTGACAGAGCATTTTAATGCCCAAAATGGAGCATTAAGATTGTGCATTGTAGCTGGCAAACAGAAGCACAACCGTGTACAAAAGCCGACAAATTTCGAGATTTGAAGTGACAATTACCACTAAGGAAAAATCCCTGGGAATGAGGTTGGAAGAAAGAAAGAAAGAAACGAAAGGGAAACGATAGCTTAAGCTGAGAAAATGGAAGTTAGAAACCCTGTGATGAGTCAGTATATGCTTTTAGTAAAATCCAGCTTATGGTCTATTATCAATGCTGCGTTCTGATTGGTTGAGCTACTACTAGGCTATATGTTATAGCCTACTAGTAGCGAAAAGCGCCGGCTTTTTGGCGGCAAAAAAGGATTAAAATCTAGCTTTAACTAGCTAAAGTTGTTTGGTCTCGATATTTTTTTACCAACCAGCTGGATTTTACTAAAACAATTATTCCTCTCGCCTTCATGGCCTCTGCGTCAATAGCCCATGAGGCCGAAGAGCCCATTCGGGCTCGAGGAATAATTGTTACGGACTAGGGTAGACATATACACAATCGATACGAGTAGCCTCGACAAGCGGACTCGCAGGCACACACACCAGTATGGGTCAGTGAAAAGCAAAGAATAAGGTCCCTTGACATCCTGAACAAACCATGTGGGAAAAAATACACTAGAGGAAAGGTTAGCCGACCTCGACTGTACGCTTCTCTATATTATTCTAGAGTCAAACATGAGTTAATGTGAACGACACATGAACTCTGCTTTAAAAACACAGGCTTTCCTTTCTGTCGTCAAGAAAATTCATACTTAGCGGTTTCATTGTATTTAAATAATCAAAATTTGAATACTCTTGATCATCGAAGCAAATCTGACACACTTAATAATCAAAATCTAATCTGCAATAGTGTAAACAAAAAGTAAATTGCACCACAAAATATCTTAGTTTAGTTTTTGATCCTTAGCGTTTATTCTTTTTTACACAAGTGTTAATTTTCGTGTAAGACTAAACTGCTGAGCCATCCTCGGTGTAAAAACCTGTGAAACTCACGAGTGACGTAAAACAATGAATACAAAGAAGCCACTGAGAAGTCAACACCATAGAGCCAAGAAAAATAATAGCTAGAAAACAAAGGAAAACTTCACAGGTTTTTACACCAAGGTAAACCCCATTCTTATTTGGGGCTTATGAACAATGCTCCCACACTTGTTAATTTATTCCAAACTACTATAATAAGCTTTTCGAGAACATAAAGATTACATACTTTTCTTTTCAAACACTAATGAGCTAGGGTATGAGAATGACTGTATTCACAGATCATTTACGGCTTAAGGGCTTATTCTCAAACCAATTCTATGAAATGAAAATGACCTTAATGAACCCGTGTTTAACATTGGA